GTAATTTCCTAGTAATTTACTGGATAACTACTTGCTATTTACTAGTCAAAATCCAAGTTCAAATCATCGCCAAAGACCCACCCGACCTTAATTGAAAGTCACAAACAAATTTGGATCGAGCTTATAAAGGTAATTTCTGCGCGCTCTTGTGGAGTATATGGCAAATGCCAAATTTAGAACAAAATTTTTTATGACGCAAAAAATTCTTTTTATGACGCAAAAAATTCTTTTCATGACGCAAAAAATTCTTTTTATGACGCAAAAATTCTTTTTATGACGCAAAAAATTCTTTTTTTGATGATTTTTCGTAAGATTCGAACTTAATCAGATTTGATGAAACATTCCACATGGAAATTTGCTATTAAATTGCAAGTGTAATTTACTAATAGTAAGTTGTTTTAATAACAACTAGTAAATTGCAAGTAGTAGAATAGAAAGACTAGCAATTCGCTAGTTAGTCTCGCTAGAGATAGAAGTTTTTTCATTATGGAAATTAACATAGCCGGGACGGACGAGTACATCCTCGAATTTGAAAAGCCCCGTCAATAAATGTTAGAATGAACAGCACAGCAAGGAAACAAGGAAAGCAGCAACAAGATGCAGAGCTTCAAAAGATGAAAATTTAAGAACAAATGAAAATTCAAAGCATAGACAGCAAATTTGCAGTTTCAATTGAACTTCCTCATAAACATCATAAACTTTGAAGGCAAAGCCGAAACAAGAAAAAACTTAGGAACTGCTTAAAAAGCAAAAAGAATTAAAAGGAAAAACTCAGAAAAATTTCAAGCAACAAAATATCCAGAAATTGACATTTGATGTTGATGAAGAGAATGAGGAGCTTAATGATGACAATTTTCAGGCTGTTGATCCACCTAATATCATGATTAAGAAATGGCAAACGTGAGAATAAATTAAAAGAGGAACTGAAGAAGCAATGAACTGAGCAATATGTTGGTAAGTCATCCATAATTTCAGAAAAATAAAAAATAATTTTTAAACTTTCAGGAAATATCATTTTTATGGGTTTCAAAGGAGAAAATGCCCCACTGTCCTGCTCAAATTTTTTTCGGCACTTAAAATCCTTACATTTTGGTATAAAAATAAAGCAAAAAAGTTTCTGGTCTTAATTGAGTGACAATAGCAACACGAGCGAAATGAATGAAGCCATACTATCAAGTACATAAAGAAGAGGCTGAAAACAATCAAATTTGATGACTTGAACAAAATGAGCAACTAGAAATATCGATCGAGGCTTAACCTCTTTAAATGGATTGAGTTTAAAAAGAGACATCACAATTGAATCAAAAACATTCCACAAGCTTAGAAGTTTTCGATGAGGAATTTCTTAAAAATGAGCAATGCTCCCAGCAAGTCATTAAGGAAGAAGCATCGCTAGCTCCAAGTTCTGTACCACCATGTCAAGAATTTTAATACCACCAATCTGGAGCTTTGACAACACAGTGGAAATGGAGGGAGTTCTTACCAGTTCTTACGCTTAGAATGAAGGTAATGCTTTTTGACTGGTTAATTGGAGTTTGTGAGGTGTATAAACTTCGTGGTTATTTAACTGCAAAGCAAAATGTTAGTAAAATTTTAATCAATTAACTGACAATCTGTGTCTGTTTTATTTGTCTTCACCTAATGTAGGCATTGTCAACTTTCTTGACTTGATAAAAATACATCAAAGTCATGTCAGAGCTTGATTCTGCGTGATTTTAAAAATTTAAGCATTTACGCACATGATGCAGAGCTTCAAAAGAAAGAAATTCAGGAACAAATGAAAATTCAAAGCAAAGACAGATTTGCAGCTTTAATTGAACATCCAGCAACTAAATTTGACAAAAATTCCTTTGGACTGTTCAGGCTATTAGATTTGTAGGCAAAGCAGGAACAAGAAAGAACTAGGGAACTGCTTAAAAAGCAAGAAGAAGAGGAAAAATTAAAAGGAAAAACTCAGAAAAATTTTAAGCAACAAAAGATCCAGAAATTGACAGTTGATGTTGTTGATGAAAATGAGGAGCTTAATGATGACAATTTTCAGGCTGTTGATCCACCTAATAAGATAATTAAGAGATCCAGAACGTGACGATATTGAGAATAAATTAAAAAAGGAACTAGAGAAGCAATGGACTGAGCAAAATGTTGGTAAGTCATCCATAATTTCAGAAAAATAAAAAATAATTTTTAAACTTTCAGGAGATATCATTTTTATGGGGTTTAAAAAAGAAAATGTCCCACTGTCCTGCTCAAATTTTTTTTGGGCATTAGAATCCTTTCGTCAACAGCCAAATTTTAACAATGATGCATCACCTATCATTCAAACACACGCTTATGATTAGCTTTGAAGTTATCGATAAGGGAATTCCCAGATTGTCTGCGCAGATAATCATATACAAGACGAATCACCAGCATCAGTTCTGGAAATCCAAAACAAAAATTGGGGATTATTGCAGCAATACGAATAGTGAGTAAACTTCAGGTAAATACTAATCTAATCTTTGTTTTTTAATTCATATTTAGGATTTTTATGACTTAAAAATTAGAAAATGCTCTACCGTCCTGCTCAAAATTTTTTTCGGCACTCAGAATCCTTGCATTTTGGGTTAAAAATACAGCAACAAAGTTTCTGGGCTTAATTGAGCGAAAATAGCAACACGAGCCAAATGGATGGAGCCATACTATCAAGTGCTTGTAGAAGAGGCAGAAATTAATCCAATTTTATGACTTCAATAAAATGAGGAATTGGAAATAAGCTATAGATTGAGTCATGTTTGCCCAAATCTTAACAAAAACCATCAAATAGTATTCAAACACATAATCAATGAACAGACTATCATTAAGCAAGAATAATCGCTCATTTCAAGTTCTGCACAGTCATATCCATCAAGAATGTTTATCAGACCAGCATTTAAACCACCGATTAATAGATATCCAAAACAGAAATGAGGTATCATCGCAGCACCAAGTTCGCAACAGTCGAAAACATAAATTTTGCTGCATTGGATTTGACAACGATGTAGCATAAAGATCAATTAAACGTTACAGTTGATCATTATAGTCATCAGATTCACCAGCAGCCTGAATCAATAACGTAATCAAAGTCGTGATGTCAATATGTTGGTAAGTTTTTAAAAATTTTGGCCGCAACATAAATAATTTTTAAAATTATATGATTTATCATATTCGTGCATATTAAAGGAGAAAATGCCCCACCGTCCTGCTCAAATTTTTTTCGGCACTTAAAATCCTTGCATTTTGGTATAAAAGTAAAGCAAAAAAGTTTCTGGTCTTAATTGAGTGAAAATAGCAGCACAAGCAAAATGGATGGAGCCACATTTTCAAGTGCATGAAGAAGAGGCTGAATACAATCAAATTTTATGACTTGAACAAAATGAGCAACTAAAAATATCGATTGAGGCTTAACCTCCATAAATGGATTGAATCTAAAAAGAGACATCACAATTGAATCAAAAACATTCAAAAAGCTTAAAAGTTTTCGATAAGGGATTTCTTAAAAATAAGCAATTAGGAGCATTAAAGAAGAAGCATCGCCAGCTCCAAGTTCTTCACCACCATGTCCATCAAGAATTTTATCAATACCAGTATGAAGCTATGACAACGCAGTGGAAGAGGAAAGAGTGAGGAATCGGACGGTAGTCTCTGGGAAGAGGATGAGAAAGCATCGCTGAAGCCATACGTATGAAAGCTACCAGTTCTTCAGCCAAGAATGTAGGTAATACTTTTTTCATGGTGTGGTTCCACAAGCTAATGACGGCTGATATGGGTGGTTATTTGTTTTGTTAATGCTTCATTATCTTTTTTTTTCCTATATAGTTGTTGGTTCATTTTGGAAATTTACATAGTCGGGACGGATTATATTGGATAAGCCCCATCAATAAATGTTAGAATGAAGAGCACAGCAAGGAAACAAGAAAAACAGCAACAAGATGCAGAGCTTCACAAGAAGAAAATTCAAGAACAAATGAAAATTTAAAGCATATGCAGCAAATTTGAAGCTTCAAGTGAACATCCAGCTGCTGAATTTGACAAAAATTCCTTTGGACTGTTCAGGCTATTAGAATAAGGAACAAGAAATAACTAAGGAACTGCTCAAAAAGCAAGAAGAGAAGAATTAAAAGGAAAAACTCAGAAAAATGTTAAGCAACAAAAGATTCAGAAATTGTCATTTGATGTTGATCATGAGAATGAGAAGCTTAATGATGACAATTTTCAGGCTTTTGATCCACCTAATAACATGATTAAGAGATCGCAAATGTGACGATATTGAGAATAAATTTAAAGAGGAACTAGAGAAGCAATGGACTGAGCAACAATACAATATGTTGGTAAGTCATCCATAATTTCAGAAAAATAAAAAAAAAAAATTTAAACTTTCAGGATTTATCATTTTTATGGGGTTTAAAGGAGAAAATGCCCCACCGTCCTGCCCAAATTTTTTTTGGGCACTTAGAATCCTTACATTTTGGTGAAAAAAATAAAGTAAAAAAAAGTTTCTGGTCTAGTTTAAGTGACCGGTTGGGCAGCTCCAAAGAGTAATGCTTCAACCTGAGTCGGCACACCCTTAATGACGAGACACATTAAGGCATTATAATGTAACCCGGTAACTGCTCATTATGTAAAAATAAGCTTTGGGACTCGTTTTGCTTGACCTGCACGTGGTGAGTCCTGTGATCTTTTTTTCTGTTTTGATTAAAAAAAGAGACCGACAAGCATAAATGCTGTAGAATGAGCTGATTAAATCAAAACATAGAAATATGAAGTATTCTCAACGAGTGAACCAATTCACTGTAATCACTACATTATTAACGCACATTCAAGGAATCCAAAATAAGTAACACAAAAGTACTGGTCATTTTTCAAATCGATGACATTATTTTTTTGCTTTATCTTAACGGTCCTTGAATATTTGAAAATATTCCCGCGAAAAGAAGCACGAAAGAAGTGAACATAATATTATTTAATTAATTTAATCCATTAAAATGTACAACAAATACGGTGAAAATGCAGGCAAACAAAATACTTTTGGGTAAGTTATCATAATTTGATGGAGACTAGTTTATTAATGTATTAATTAACAGAATCACCGATAATGATGAATATATGAGCACCAAATCAGCAGAACAGAGCTATAGAACATCCAGAGAGAATGACAGCATAGATTCAAAATATGGATTTGATCGTGTTAAGGATTATAACGAGCGAACTGGATATTTAATTAACATGCATTCTGTAAGTCTGATTTTAGTGAAATTTCACTACTTTATTATAGTTTAATTCATTTACTTCCACAGACAGAGATTCTTGATCAGGATCGTCGCTTAGTTTCTGCATTAGATCTGTATTTCATCACAATGAATGCATCAAGATTCAAGGTATCTGTTGTCTATCAGCCATACTTTCTAGTTCTACCTCAACAGCAACAGATCCATGAAGTGCTTACGTATCTGCAGAGAAAGTATGGAGGCAATGCTGCAAAAATAGAAATAATTGAGAAAGAAGATTTAGACATGCCTAATCATTTGATTGGAATTAAGCATCAAGTCATCAAAATGTCATTTTACAATACAACAGTCATGAATAAGATTCGTTTAGAAATCAATCGTTCTGTGAAGAAGAATAAGGAACGAGAAAAGAGCAATACTTTCTATATGAAGATGCTATCAATGTCATTAACTGGAAATGCCTCAACAGAAGCAAATCAAGACTTTCTAGACTTTATTATGGATATTCGTGAGCATGACGTTCCTTATCATGTCCGCGTTTCAATTGATTTACAGATATTTTGTGGATTATGGTACAATATTAAATGTAAAGGAGGCTCAGAATTGCCATCTATTACTCAACGTCCTGATATCCTCGATCGACCTGATCCAATTGTTTTAGCCTATGATATTGAGACAACAAAATTGCCTTTAAAGTTCCCAGACGCACAAACTGATCAAATTATGATGATTTCCTACATGATTGATGGACAAGGATATTTAATCACAAATCGTGAAATTGTCTCGAAAGATGTTGATGATTTTGAATACACACCAAAGCCTGAATTTGAAGGACTTTTCATAGTTTTTAATGAGCCAAATGAATTGGGATTAATTCAGCGATTCTTTGATCACATTTTAGAAGTTCGTCCACACATTATGGTTAGCTATAATGGTGACTTTTTCGATTGGCCTTTCGTAGAGACTCGTGCTGCATTTTATGATTTAGACATGAAAAGAGAAATTGGATATAGTAAGAATCGTGATGGAAATTATATCTCAAGACCAAGCATGCATATGGATTGTTTTTGCTGGGTAAAACGAGATTCTTATTTGCCTGTTGGTTCGCAAGGCTTAAAGGCTGTAGCCAAATCAAAACTTGGTTATAATCCAGTCGAACTTGATCCCGAAGAAATGTGCAAAAAGGCTGTTGAATCTCCACAGGAACTTGCTAGTTACTCAGTTTCTGATGCTGTTGCTACTTACTATTTATACATGAAGTATGTCCATCCTTTTATATTTGCCTTAGCAACAATCATTCCAATGGAACCAGACGAAGTTTTGCGTAAAGGATCTGGTACACTTTGTGAATCGTTACTGATGAAGGAAGCTTTTCATGCTAATATAATCTTTCCAAATAAGGAACAAGCAGAATTAAATAAATTAACAGATGATGGTCATGTGCTTGATACTGAAACTTATGTTGGTGGACATGTAGAAGCACTTGAATCTGGCGTGTTTCGTGCTGATCTTCCTTATCGTTTTCGACTTGACTGTGGAATGTTGCAGGAATTAAAAGATAAAGTTGGTCACGTTCTTAAACATGCTCTAGAAGTTGAGGAAAATATTCCACTTTCGGAAGTTAATAATTTTGATGAAGTTGTGAAGGAAATTCAAGCAGCTTTACAAAGTTTACACGATACACCAGTTCGAGTCGAAAAACCTGTAATTTATCACTTGGATGTAGGTGCTATGTACCCGAATATTATTCTTACTAATCGTCTCCAACCGTCGGCTATGGTAACTGAGCAAGATTGTGCTGCTTGTGACTTTAATAAGCCTGATGCTGAATGTAAAAGAAAAATGGATTGGCTATGGAGAGGTGAAATGCTTCCAGCAACTAGAAGGTAACGGTTTTTTGTGATTCAAATTTTTAACGACTTTAACCGTATCGGTTAATTTTAACTGATTTTCGAGATTTAAATGAACTAAAACAAAATGAACTTTCAACCACTGAACAAAAAAAAGTTTCAAATTTTTTTTAACGGTTTTCTTTTTATCACAGCGAGTTTCAACGAATCCAGCAGCAACTAGAGACTGAAAAGTTTCCACCACTTTTTCCAGGCGGTCCAAATCGTGCATTTCACGAATTATCAAGAGAAGATCGAGCAGCAATTGAGAAGAAACGTTTAAGTGATTATTGTCGTAAAGCTTATAAGAAAACAAAAGTCACAAAATTAGAAACAAGAACTTCCACAATTTGTCAGATGGAAAACAGCTTTTATGTAGACACAGTAAGAGCATTTCGTGATCGTCGTTATGAGTATAAAGGATTAACAAAAGTAGCGAAATCTGAAGTTACAAAAGCTGTAAAGTCCGGAGACGCGAGTGAAATTAAAGCAGCTAAAGGACGTGAAATTCTCTATGATTCTCTTCAGTTAGCTCACAAGTGTATTCTTAATTCTTTCTATGGATATGTCATGAGAAAAGGTGCTCGTTGGCACAGCATGCAAATGGGTGGAATTGTATGTCTTACTGGTTCGAATATTATTACAAAGGCACGAGAAGTTATTGAGAAAGTTGGACGTCCTTTAGAATTAGACACTGATGGAATTTGGTGTATATTGCCTGGCACATTTCCACAAGATTTTGAAGTTCAAACAAATCTGCCTAAAAAGTCTAAAATCACAGTCAGCTACCCAAATGCTGTTCTTAATACAATGGTTAAAGATCACTTTACAAATGATCAATATCATAATCTTGACAAGCCAGCTGCTAATGGACAACAACCAGAATATTCAATTAAGCCTGAAAATTCAATTTTCTTTGAAGTTGATGGACCTTATCTTGCAATGGTACTTCCAGCAGCAAAGGAAGAAGGTAAAAAGTTGAAAAAACGTTATGCTGTATTCAATTTTGATGGCTCTGTAGCTGAATTGAAAGGATTTGAGATTAAAAGACGTGGAGAATTACAGCTGATTAAAATCTTCCAATCACAAGTCTTTGAAGCTTTCTTACAAGGAAATACTTTAGAAAAGTGCTACCAATGTGTCGCAAAAGTCGCTAATTACTGGCTGGATGTCTTGTACAGTAAAGGTGCAAATATGCCTGATTCTGAATTGTTTGAATTAATTTCTGAGAATCGATCAATGTCCAAGAAACTTGAAGAATATGGAGCACAAAAATCCACATCGATTTCGACAGCAAAAAGATTAGCAGAATTCTTAGGTGATCAAATGGTAAAAGATGCAGGCTTAGCATGTAAATATATCATTAGTAGAAAGCCTGAAGGTGCTCCAGTTACAGAAAGAGCTATTCCTTTAGCAATTTTCCAATCTGAATCAGCTGTTCGTCGTTTTCACATCCGTAAGTGGCTTAAAGACTCAACAATTGATGGCGATGTAGATATTCGTGATATTCTCGATTGGAATTACTATATTGAACGAATTGGCGGTACTATACAGAAGATTATTACAATTCCTGCTGCATTACAAGGAGTTGCTAATCCAGTTCCTCGTGTCCAACATCCAGACTGGCTACATAAAAAGATTCTTGAGAAAAATGATGCATTTAAACAGCGTCGAATCAATGAAATGTTTAAATCAGCACCAAAACCAGTATCGAAAGTTCGTGACATTGAAGATTCTGTTGGCAGTTCCTCTCATTCACCTCATGTTCCAGTTGTGACTACAAGAAAGAGAACAAGAGCTGAAGAAAGTCCAGAAATACAACCTAAAACATGGCGTGAAGCTTTAGGAAGTCCACCAAGTATGGGAACAACAAAAGATGAGCTTGTTGAGTGGATTAAGTTCCAAAAGAAAAAGTGGAAGTTCCAATTAGAGCAAAGAAAGAAATTACGTGGTGATAATAGCAATAAAAGAACCAAACACGATGAAGTTCCACTTGTTGATTCCGTCCAAAAAGGTCCAATGCAAAGTTTAGGTGGATTCCTTAAAAGAACACAAAGAAATTTGATAGAAATGACATGGCAAATTATACAAATTGTTCCAATTGATCAGGATGGACATTACAATTTGTGGGCTATTATTGGCGATGATTTACAAAAGATTAAGCTTGAAATACCGAGAATCTTTTATGTCAATCAACGAACGCCTGCACCGCCATGTGAGGATGAAAATGATAAAATATCATGGAAGAAAGTTCATCGAGTTTTGCCTCGATCAAGGCCTTCATATCATTTATATCAATATACAGTTCCTGAGAAAGTCTTTCGTGATAATGGACTAGGAATGTTGGTGGATTTAGCAGCTCCAGATATTGAAGGCATTTATGAGACACAAATGAGTTTAGAATTTAGAGCATTAATGCTTCTCGGAAGTTCTTGTGTGGTTCAACGTTCAGAAGCTAGAAAAATTGCAATGTCAGCGACTGGACAGCGTGATACATTTTCATTAAATCAGCTCGAACAGAAGCAACAAATTCAAATGCCATATCTCAAAAATGGTGGAAACCTTAAGAAAATCTTCCTTTATCAACACACAATCCCTTCTGCAAAGAAAAGCATGTGGGGATTGTTCCTTACACCAATCAATAAAGCTGTAATTATAGTACATGACACAGTGCGAACAAATCAGATTCCAACTATGAAAAATTTGTATGTTACTGAACGACAAGCTTACATAACTGGAAATGGTGAGGCTGATGATGAAAAAGTTCCACCCAATGATATCCAGTTTGAAGTATTTACTGAAATTGATTTAAAACAGGTATGATTTATTAACGTATTTTAAAAATTCAAATTTTCAACAGATTATTGAAATTCAAACTGAATCGGTTATTTTTATCGGATTTTTGAAATTAAAATATGAATTCATTCAAATTTAAATTGACAGTTGAAATGCTCATAAACTTTATTCCTTAATTGAACAGGTTTATCGTCACATCCAGCGAGCACTAACAGGATATCAACAGGAAAAGAAAGGTCCCTCAATAATTTGTGTCCAATCAGCAATTCCATTAACAACTCTTAATCAACATATTCCATCTTTATTGGATTTCCCACAAACTCAAAATCACATTATTGATGATGCATCGCTACTTGTTGGATTAGAATGGCAAAGAAACGGTGTCAAGTCAATGGTTCGTCATTATTTGAATCATTTACAAGTATTTGATTTAATGTTAGAACAATGTCGATACTTTAATGTACCAATTGGAAACATGCCATCAGATACAGTTCTTTTTGGTGCTGATTTGTTTTATGCTCGACATCTTCAAAAGCATAATTTTGTTTTGTGGTGGTCAGCAAGTCATCGACCAGACTTGGGAGGTTCTGAAACTGATGACAATACTTTACTTAGTGAATTTGATGATAATCGATTGATTCAGCAGAATAAAGCAGGATTCTATCCAAATGTATGTGTAGAATTAACAATTGACAGCTTGGCTGTGTCTGCTTTACTTCAAAGTCATCGAATTCAGGAAATGGAAGGTGCAAATGCAGCAATAACATTCGATAATATTCCACAAGCATCACTCAATGACATGATTACAAATCCAAATTTACTGCAAATGCTGCCAAGTTACGATGAAACTGCTTTATGTTCAGCACAATTTCGTGTCATGAGATCTTTAGTTGGTGGATGGCTGAGAGAAGTCACAATGAATAGAAATGTTTACAGTGATTTTCAAATTGTTCATTTCTATCGTTGGATTCGTTCGTCAAGCTCATTACTTTATGATCCAGCATTAAGACGATCTTTAAATACATTGATGAAAAAACTGTTCCTTCAAATTATCGCAGAATTTAAAGTTCTTGGCGTTGATGTCCTTTATGCTGATTTCACAAAAATTATTGTTCATAGTGGCAAGAAATCAATTGTTGATGGAATCAGCTATGCTGACTACATTTGTCAAAGTATCAGAAATAAGGAGTTGTTCCATTCTGTTCATTTGTCTTATCAGCAATGCTGGAACTTTTTATTGTGGATGGATGTTTTTAATTTCTCAGGCTTGAAAGGAAAAGTGCCGATGGAATTGACTGGAGAAACTGAAAGCGAAATTGTGAGTAGCACATTAAATTATATTAATTACGTAATGTCTACGTAAACCTGTTTTACGTACGTATTGTTTAAGTCATTTTGCGTACGTATTCGTTACGCACGTTTTATTGTTGCGTTATTTTACGTACGTAATTCCTTACGTCACGTGGACATTCAACGTTTACTAAAATACCTCGATTTATCAAAAAAAAAGATTAAAATCAACTTTATATCCCAATAGCTCGACGAAGACGAAGAATTATCACTGGAAATGAATTGGAATATTTGCGAAATGCTACCTGATGAGCAAAATTGTCAAGAGAAGCTAGAGAGTTTCCTTACAGTGTATATTGAGCAGCTTGCAGACGGCGTTGATCCATCGAAGGCTATAAAAATGCTGTCTCATCATGCTTACGATATTGTCATGAAAATGCATCAAAGTTCTGGAAGATCACAAGACGGACCAGCGACTGAATTCATTAAAGCACTTTGTAAGATTTTAGAGATTGATCCAACAGTAAATGAGGAACTAGATCAACTGAGAAAGAATATGTTGAGACTTGTTGGACTTGGAGAGTTCTCAGATAAGGCAATTTGGCAAGAAAAAGGAAAATCGTACATTTTATCGGAAGTAATTTGTCAGGCATGCAATCATTGCCGTGATTTGGATTTATTAAAGGATAAACATCGTGCAATGAAAGATGGAATTCCAGTATGGCTTTGTGCTCAATGTTCAGTCAGTTATGATACAGAAGATATTGAAAGTCGATTAATTGATGTCCTGAATCGTAAATTAATGTCATATACTCTACAAGATCTTCAATGTACTAGATGTAAGGAAATTAAGCAAGATAATATGTTGCAGTATTGTCAATGTGCTGGAAATTATGAGACATTGATTCATCCAAGTGAGGTACAGAAACTTTTAAAGACCTTTAATTATGTCGCTGATAATTATTCGATGGTCCTTCTTAAAGAGTATACAGATACACTTTTAAACAATATTTAACATTTTGTTTGTAATTTAAACCAATTAAAAGTCAAGATCCTGTTTTTTTTTCAACTAAACCAATTTTTTGTATTCCTAAATATTTCACAAAACATTCTCTTTTTGCATTTTAAATCGGGAAATTTTCAAGTCTGTTCTTATTATAAGCTGGATGTTATTAAACTTAATTCTCCGAGTTGATTGGATCAATTTTTGGTTCATCGAATTTGAATTCTGGGAATTTGGTCATGTCAACTCCAGCCCCACCGCCGTATTGCTTAGCTAATTTATCTAATTCTTGTGCAAGCTCTTTTGTGATTTCTGGGGTAGCATCGACCAACTTTCCACCACTAAAAATAAGCAAATCAATCAATCGGATACTTAAACATGATTATGATTGGCACTTACGAGCTCTTGGACTTGTATTCACGGATTTTATCAAGGAACATTTGCTGAATTGGATCAGAGACCTTCTGAAGTGCTGGAGCAGCAATTCCGAAGTTGCGACGAGCAATTTGGCCCAAATTACGAGCACCAGACAGTAATTGTGAAGTCAACATCGTTACTGGAATTAATTAAGCATATTTTGGATTTAATAAATTTAATTTTCATACAAAATTTGATTGTGTAACATGCAGAAAAATTTATTTAATGATTTTTTGACGAATTTAAGCGACTAATTGACTAGCTGTCAATTAAGTCATGTGTATAGACACTTTAACTGTGTTATTAACTTAATTATAGTACCTGATAAAGCTGAATTAAGTGCAAAAACGGAAATATCCAACCACTAAAGTTTTTCTAGGTATGTGAAGGCGACTTTACACACTGAATTCTGTTCAATGACTCACCCCTCACCAACCCCGCGATTCAAAAAAACCGTTAATTTTATAAGACATGCTTGTAGCCGGCGTTTGAGCATTTTAATTAAATTAATGAACGGAAATCTGATGCTAATTAAATTAATTCTACTGTTTTATTTTTGCTAATTCTCAATTATTTTTTTCAAGATCATTTTCACTCTCAAACTGACTGCAAAAAGTTAATTCTAATCAGCCTAATTCCATTTTGTGCGACATGATATCGCCAATATTCTATATATAGTAATTCTACTTTTCCCTATCAATCTTTCTAATGAATCAAGAGCAAAAAAAGCAGATGATTTCATCTCATTGATATTTTTTGAGCTCAATCGCAATTGATAAGGAAAGAAAAAATCGATCCAGTGATCTTGTTACGTTCTCAAACATCAACTTTCCATTTACAAATAAAGTCACATGTCCATAATGAGTTTAGAATGCATCCAGTTTCCTACAACAAATCATTTAATGATAAGAACCCGAATGAGAAAGAAAGAAAAAGAACTGAAAATTAAATTGTTTGGATGATAGAGACATGTTAACACAATAAAAATCATATTATATTATATACAATATTTATCAACGAATCACATCACCACTACAATTATAATTCATTCATGAAAAAAAAACTACAACTCGTTTTTGACTCTTATAAAGAAATGAATGAATGAATGAAATCATCTACACATTGATGTTGATCAGCTTGTGAACTTCAGCACATGAATATTATCATGTTTATGTATTTTCTTTTAAGCTAAGTGAGAAAATCAACAGCTTGAGGGCGGCTGGTGATTTATTATGTTTATAGAGGATGGAAAACTTTAGATTATCTTGTCTTTTCCTTATTTTCATGAAGGATTTAAAAGATAAGATTTACAATTACGTACGTAAATTTACGTAAGCTTATTTACGATGATTATTCCATCATGATTCCTTATTCACTAATGACGTCCGAAATTTACACCTCAATCTAAAAATCCCAAAAATGCAGATAGTACTGCTAAGATGCAGATGGTACTGCTAAAGTGCAGATGAAATTTATTTTCCCTAAAATGCAGATGAAATGCTGTTGCTTTAAAAAGGTATAATGCAGATAATTTTTATCGTATAAAGTGCAGATAAGATGCTGCCTAAATGTAGATCGTATAGATTAATTAAAATACATCAATATTCGAACCTCAATCTAGAAATCCCTAAAATGCAGCTACCCTAATATGCAGATAGTACTGCCAAGATGCAGATGGTGCTGCTAAAGTGCAGATGAAATTTATTTTCCCTAAAATGCAGATGAAATGCTGTTGCTTTAAAAAGGTATAATGCAGATAATTTTTATCGTATAAAGTGCAGATAAGATGCTGCTAAATGTAGATCGTATAGTTTAATTAAAATACATCAATATTCGAACCTCAATCTAGAAATCCCTAAAATGCAGCTACCCTAATATGCAGATAGTACTGCCAAGATGCAGATGGTGCTGCTAAAGTGCAGATGAAATTTATTTTCCCTAAAATGCAGATGAAATGCTGTTGCTTTAAAAAAGATATAACGCAGATAATTTTTATCGTATAAAGTGCAGATAAGATGCTGCCTAAATGTAGATCGTATAATTTCATTAAAATACATCAATATTCGATGACTTTTATTCTTGATGCGTGTTAATGACTTTAAATGATCCATGATGAAATTTAAGTGTAATTATTTTGTCTGACGACATATTTATGTATATATTGGGTCGAGTATCCTTTTTTTGAGCTCATCTATATATCTTGCCAAAATGTTACATGTCGTTTAACAACAAAACTAGTGTATTGGGTAGAAACCCAATGCGGATATATTCGCACCGTACCATCAAAAGTCTTATGGATAGACAGAGATTTGTTCAGCATAAGTTTGAAGGTATAAAGCTAGCGTGTCAATTGAGCTTCTCTCAGCATATGTTTGAAGGTTTAAAGCTTAACTTGAATTTTATAAAAATCACAGTCAACTTTTGTTTTAAAACATTCGTAGGAAAAGAAAGTTTTTTGCATTTTCTGAAGCAACGGCTGTTCCTACCTTGCCCAAAAACAATACAGCTCTTCTATAGAGCAGCACGAATCAAATGTAAAAAACAGCTTACTATGCCTTCCTCCATGTAAATCAATCCTTGATAACTTCTTATGCTCTTTAATCTATTTCATAACTCCAGTAACTGCCATACTTTCAATGAATTGTTAACAATCACATTAATTCTCTTTTTAAAAATTCTCTTTTCCGGAAATCCGAGTAAATTCCAAGAGAGTCTGTGATGAAATTTTAATATTTTGGTACCTAAATGATTTTATAACCCAAAAATATGAATGTCAAAAAGATTTCCAGCACCTAGAATATTTTAATTACATCCAAAGAGATCAATCGAAATTAGGAAATGTCAGGTAAACATTTAAAAATTCATTCATGAAAATAATGGAGAGGAGGGAGGATATTTTAATATAAGGAAGCACTAAAACGTATTTAAATTTGAGATTTTTAATTTTAGAATGAGAAGTTTTTGACATCCTTGAGATTAGAATATAGAAATTTCGGTCAATTCCTCTGATAATCTAGGATTTCAATTTTAATACAAAGAATCTATCTAAAACACATTCACAATTTACTTCCAGTGCCAATCGTCTATGTCGCATAGACTCTATGTCTTTAAATTGAAAGAATCACACTGTCGGATGCTCTTCAACCCAAAAAATTAAATATTTTTATTTAACTCCTGTGAATATGGCTCGAAGAGCATAACTCTAGGATAGGCCATAGGGCTCACTGTGAAACTGGTTGTATGTGTATGACGGATAGCCGAAGTGAGATAAATACCTCGGTGGTCGAGTGGCAAGGATCTCTAATTGAGTGGTCAGAGATCGACTCTTTTAAGGTCGCGGGTTCGATTCCCATCGAACCTAGGCTAATGTATATCCTGAGCCATATCAGCTTACTTAAAGTATGCTTTTAAGGCTTAAGTAAATGACTTACTTCCTTTACTTCGATGACCTTACAGATCAATTGTGATACATGGCTTCCCTCAAATGCGCCTAAAACTGGCTGTATCGCTGGGAACCGCTTGCCAATTTCCTATCCCAAATGTAATACTGTCTAAGTAAATGAACGCATCAAAATTCACAGTTATTGACAAACAGCAAAGTTTGCAGTAAATAATAATCTTCTCATCTACCTGATGATAACATAGTCAATGAAAAAAAAAAAAAAAATTCATTATCAGTCGATGCATCTGTGTACAATCAATGACGAACTTCAAAATAAAAATTAATTCAGGCTTGATGTGCCTCTCAAAGTTGTATGTATATACAGCAACAGAGACAGAAGAGTGCTGAATTCACAAATGATCACATATTAACTTTAAAATGTACGTTTATCAACAGACATCCACACACCAACATACATACATGCTCACTTCTTCGGCACTTTTTCTCGCTCTCTTATTCTACTTCATTTATTTCGTAAAAACAGATTTTCATTTCATTCTTAAACTGACTGGCAAAGCAAAACGTACAACAAAAAAAGAAATATTATTATTTTTTTTTAAGTTTTTTTCTTGTGCTGTATATTCTTTATAATTCTCTTCTTCTCCTTCGACGAAACCGATCGCCGATTAAGTAAGAAATTTTTTTTGAATGTCTCAGACGTAAATAAATAAATAAAACTATTAGTGAATTGCAACAATCGTGTGCTGAAATTTCAACAGTAATTTTGCATGCACTTTTTCATGCACATTAATGATTAAAAACTAGCTCCGAATAAGTGCGAACAACAAAAAGTGAAATAATTTTATGAATGAAAAAAAAGTTGTTTATTTAATAATTAATTGATTGCGGTCATAGTGAAGTGTCTCTCAAAAATTGACAAATACGTGAGCATATATAAATATTGAGTATAGTGACATAGAACAAACAAAATTGCTACACATGTGATTATAAAAATAATATAAAAAAAAATTAAAATTAGAAGCTGAAAAAAAATATTGTATATGATTGAAGTCGCGACATAGCAGTGTGTTTGTGAGTTTTTTTTTTATGAATGAAAAAATAAAGAGTTACACAAAAAAAAATCTCGTGGATCAGCATAAAAAAAGAAAGAATAATACATTTTTAAATTTAGAAGTTCTTTATTTTTTTTGAGAATTTCTCTTTTATCTTATTTCGTGGATTAACAGCTCATTCTTGTGTTCTGTTACTGATCAGCTTCTTCATATCTCATTTATACCTTTACGGATCAATAAGGAATATTAGAAAAAGGTAAGATTTGTTTTGTTTTTTTCCAATTGAACATCTTCAAGACATACATGTATGTCTATGCTCTATGGACAGTGAAACTAAAGAATTTTCACTTTATGAAGTTATTAATAATCTAACTCTATCGATGCTGCAGCTACAAAATGCTTAATTTCACTTCTATTCTAATTTTAAATATGCTCTGTCGATTGATTGTTCTTCAGTTGAACTTGAAATGTTTCTAAACCTTCTTAATTATTACTATTTGAAGTTAGTTATAAACAAAGTTTGTAATCTTCAACGGAATTTTATGATTCGAATTTTAACGACTCTTAATTTTTTGAATTTTAACGGATTTTATTTTTTTGAATAAATGTTTGTCATCTCAGAGAAAATCTTTAGATTTTTGAAAAAATTTAATTTGATAATTTTTGATAAGTTTCGGAAAAAATTAGAACTGATTAAAATATCAGATTAAACACGATTTATAAAGACAGGAAATTCAATTTTTCGGTCATCTCGGACATTATTTATTATCTCAGATAATTCGAATTTTTAAATGTCGTTAAAAACAATTGAAAACTAATTCACAAATTTATTGAATAATCCATATAAACTTGAATTTCAGGATTAAACGTTCAATTTACTCAACTTCAAGTTTCAATATCAACTTCAATTTAATTACAATTTTTTTTGGGGGGGGGGGGGGGGTATCTCTGTAATGTTGACCATTTCTGAGATAAGT